TCCACCTACCTCACTTCTAAGCATTTCTTCAAAACGCACACGTCCTGCGCCACCCGAGCCCCCTGTGACAGGCAGTCTAGGTAGATGTTCCTCAGTCTTGCTAATGTTATTTGGATGGGTTTTATCCAGAAAGAATATCTGACATTCTCCAGAAATTATATAACCTTCTGATGCAGGCTGGTATCTCTTAATTTGGGGCTTGACAGCTGATAATTTCAGAACAGTCATCTCAAGCCAAAAGATGAGAGTATAATTAGTGTTCTGTATTTCTATTAAAGTCCTCAAGTTGCAGAACAGACTTTCCATTCTGAAATGGCCACTACCGCAGCACACTTGTATTTCTTCAGCAGATGTCCCTTCTCATGAAAGCTGCAGAACTGCCAAAGAACCACGCAGGAAAGTGTTCTTACCGTGCCCCTCCATGGGGCTCTGGGCCCGTTTGGGCAGATCCTGTTAATCCTGTGAGAGGCAGGCAGTCCTGCTGCCAAGTTTATGTGCCAGGGAAATCCACTATTTCTGTACTGCTACACTCAGAGACCTCTACCTTTGGGAACTTGAATTGGCACGATAGATCTTTTAAGAAAGAAATCTCCTTCTCAGTAGTGTATCAAAGTAGCATGATCTTTTTCCTATCTTAATTTTGTGGATCAAAACAATTCATTCTTGCATAAGGTGAGAAACAAGCGGTGAGCTGTGGGATATTTGCCGGGCTGTTCTTGAGCCCGCTGCTTCTCTTAGGCTGTGGAATGTCCCCATCCTTCATAACCTCAGAGGTGGCATTCCTTCCCCGTGCTTCCCAAGCGTGGGATAGGACTGCCGAGGGGCATGACTTTCGGTGCCACTGAGATGGTTTCTGAAGATACCAAACTGACATTTAAAACATTACAAGGCGAGAACGTCTCTTTTCAGTTTTCTTTACAGTCTTGGTTGTAATGCGGAGGAAGACCATCTGGGGCTAGGATATCACTAACACTCTAACACTTGCTAATTTCCCAGTTGTAGAGAAGAGAGGTCGGACCTCTGGCAACTGTAGGCAGCTAGAAAGGCCTAACACAGATTTTTCACTGTATTTACTCCTATGAGAACTTCCTATTTATGGCAAACAACCTTGGCTTTTCTTTTATGGAAGTGATACCTGTACTTTTTCATGTTGGATGTTAAAAAGTGTGAGAACTGAAAGGAAAATGGGAATAATAATCCAAACCTGTGAGTGCGAAGGTAAGGCCAGTCCGGGACTGCACTGTCAGAACCACTGCTACGTCAGTGAGTAGCACTAGCCCTGACTTCACATAAGACTCTTCCAGGGAGCTTGGAAGATCCTAATGCCTGGGCCTCAACCCACACCAAGTGACTTTGACCCCCTGGGGGTGGAGTCAGGCATCAGTACTGGACTCACTTTCCAGATGTTTCCATTTGTAGCTGAGGCAAGATCAGCCTTCTGCCTGTACTGGGGTAGCATTCTTCTACCTCTGACCCCACATCCTGATTACATCTTATCCTTCCTTTCCTTCTGCTTCTAGACCTCCTCATCCACTCCTTTCGTTTTAATTTTGCTCTTCTCTTTCCTAGCTTCTGTCCTCCAGAGAGGAGGAGCACCATTCTTCTTAGCAATGCCCTCGATCGTTGCTTCTTCTTTTAAGACAACTATTGAAATCACTCACTTAGTTGCAGCCATGCTGGGTAATTTCCACACTGTACTATTTTCAGTAGCATTTGTTTGCCAGGTCGTTAGCCAACAGTCTGGTTTCTGAACATCTAAGCTTTTTGGATTTTGTTGTTTGCTGGTAACTTGCTTTGACAGTAACTGTTCCTGGGTTCTTAGCCTATTGCTGCTGTAAGCACTTTATATGTATGCACCTTTGTCATCCTGATATATCAGTCATCCTATTGATCAATCATTGATCAGGGTGATATGTCATCCTATACCAGGGAGGTACAGTTCTTCAGATAAGGAAACTGAGGCACAGAAAGATGAAATATCCTGCCTACATCTGTGACGTGGTAGAGCTGAAATTCACATTCAGGCAGCCCTGCACCAAAGCCCACATTCTCAGCAGATGGGACCCCTAGTTGGTTGTTCATAATCCTGATTCAAGTGTCCTGGCCTGCGATGAGTCACACATCAGAAGACTGTTCTCTGCTGCACTAAGAGATTGAAATTTGGCCCACTGTTTGCTTCAGTGTCATTTGGAATTGATAACTCTTTTTATTTCCAACTTAGATGATAGTATCTCAGCAGGAAGCCCACAGCTTTAAATCCCATCAAGATTTTAGCTCATCACCATTTGGAAGAGATCAGCCTTAAGTGATTTCATGTGTGCTGGCTGTCAAGCCTATAAACGAGATACAAAAGCCAGCGCCCACAATAACTCTGCAAATGGCAGGAGGCAACACTGAGACTCCTGGTGGCTTTGATAAGGTCCCTCATTAGCTTATCTGGAATGTGACCTTCTGCAGCCTCCATGTTAGACATCCCAGGGCACGTTCTGCCTTTTAAAACGTATCAGATTCGCATGCTGGTGCTTAAATCAGAGACAGACCTTTGGCCTGCTTCCATTACTTGTGGAAGACGTTCTCTTTTCTGATACTTGGGCTTGATTTTTAGGAGGTTAGACCTTCTGAATTGCATTAAACCTTAAAATCTCAGGTGAATTTTCCAGTGGCTGAGCCCGCTGTGGCCCTCCAGTGTCACTGAAGGCTTCAGAATGCTGAGTTCTGGGGCTAAGCCTGAGACACTGTGCCTAGGGTGAGTAGTCACATTACTGCGTCTTTTCCCCCCATTTTCTAGGCCCCAAGTACTGTATAGAAGATACTTTATGTACATCATGTCATTCAGCTCTCCCAGGAAGCTTATGCCACCAGAATTCGGGTCTTGTTTGTTTTTCTAGTTGAAGAACCAGGCTCAAGGCTGTCAGCTCCGGGTCTTGGGGCTACACAGTGAAGCGGGCAGGATTTGAAAGTAGATCTGCCGAGCAGTAGAGCCCAGGCTGTGGGTTTATGCTCGGTGCACTCCTGAGCTAGACAGTGTGTTCTACTTTGGATCTCCGTGTCCCCCCAAAAGCTCATGTGTTCAGACTTGGCCTTTTACAGGTGATTGGATTCTGAGGGCTCTGTTCTCCCCAGGGGGTGAATCCACAGCTGAATGTGTTGTAGGAGGTGGGACCTAGCTGGGAGAGGTGGTTCGTTGAAGGCATGACCTGGAAGGGTGTATCTGCCCCCCTGGCTCCTCCCTCTGCTCCCTGCTTCCTGGCCACTGTACCATAGACAGCTTTCCTCCGCCATGCCCTTCCTGCCTGGGAGTCAGCCAGCTATGGGCTGAGCGCTCAGAACACCATGAACCAAAACGAACCTCTCCTCCTTTACGTTGTGAGCATCTGGTGTTTTGTCCCAGTGACAAGAAACGTAGCTAAGACACAAGGTTAGCTACTGTTTGCTGGGCAGAATGTGAAGAACTTACTAAGTTCAGCTTCTGTGTGGTAGGCAGACTTGAGCTGGCCCAGTCCCCCTCTCAGACCATTGAATAGGTCCCCTCTGTCACCTCCCTGCGTTAAGGCTGCCGGCTAAGAAGACATGAGGCTACTGACTTTCAGGAGTACAGGACTCTGCCTGCATACAGTGGGGCCACAGACTAGAATGGGAAAAGCTTGTCTTTGACGCCTGCTCTTAAGGCCATACCTCCCTTATTTATGTCCAAAGATCCAACATCGTTAACATTCTCCATGCCTCCCTTATTGGCTGCCCACCTTATTCTAAATTTCGTCTATAATTCTTAACAATCAAACTCTGCTGTGAATCTGTGCTGGCCAGGTAGACCTGTGGTTCTGCAACTTTTGCATCTATCAGAATCACCTCGAGGTTTGCTGCACCGATCTCTGCTCCCCACCCCAGAGTTCTGGATTCAGTAGATGGTGTCGGTGCTACTGACCCAGGGACCACACTGTGAGAACAGCCAGGCACATGTGTATCAGTGGTACCTGCCTGACTGGGAGCCCTGGCGATGAGAAATTGCACTCTTGCTGGAAAAGATGCCATTGGAAGGTGGCGAGAAAAACACTGTGGGTAGGAAGGCCCAGATCTTTGTCCCATCTCATCATCATGAGGAATACTTCATGGCCTTAGACAGCTGCCCCCACTGACATAAGCCTCTGCCAGCTGTGTCTCTGAGGAGTCCTCTCTCTGCAGGTGGAAGGGCTTTCCTTCTCATTACTAGGGTTTTTTATTCCCATGTTATGCTTCTCAAGCTAGAATGTGCACTGGAATCCTCTGGGAGCCTTGGTAAATTGCAGATTCTGAGTTAGTATTCTTGGAGGGAAGCCTGAGACCCCGCCCATCCAATGAGCTTTCAGATGCTGTCGATGCTTTGCTCCCTGGACCCGCACCTGGGTAGCCACTCTGAATTACGGCTTCATGCAGCCATGGCCCCATCCCTGCTGCACGCTGGAACCCCCAGGAAGGCTTTTAACAATCAGACCCACAAGTCCTGGGTATTGTAATTTAATTCTGAGCGCTGGAATCTTAACCCCTCTCCCAAGTGATTTCAAATGATACCCCAGTTTGGGAGCTGGCAGGGGTTTGAAAGAGGCAACGCCTAGCAGGAGTTCAGGGCGTGGGCAGCGCCATGGGCCAGGCCAGGCTGGTCGCCTAGATGAGGAGCCTGTGAAGGTCACCGGGAATCTTGTTAAAACACAGCCTCTGCTTCTGCGGGTTTAGGTGGGACCCAGTTTTCTGCATTTCTAATTCATGCCTGAGTGTCATCGATGCTGCTAATTCAGGCTGCCGGGTACTGAGCCTCAAGGCTGGGCCACCTGATGCCCATTGTCTCTGCCAGTGAAGGTGGCGAGCAGCTTTCTCATGATGATTGCCGGTGGTTTCCAGGTTTCACCTCCTGTCCCTTTCAGCATCGTCTTAATGTCTCTTTTATCCAGCGTGATACTAACACAGGACACTGGGCAATTCAGGTCAGTCCTCTTTGTAACATTTTCTCCCTTTTCTCTTCACAGTCCGAGATGCAAAAAATCTAATCCCTATGGATCCAAATGGGCTTTCGGATCCTTATGTGAAGCTGAAACTTATTCCTGATCCCAAGAATGAAAGCAAACAGAAAACCAAAACCATCCGCTCCACACTGAACCCGCAGTGGAACGAGTCCTTCACATTGTAAGCACTCTCTTCTCTCCTGGATTAAATTGCACTCTGCACACCAAACATTGCCACCCTCGTTGTTAGAGATAATTCGGCATCTGTGACAAATGTCTCTAAACACATCTTCATTCCTAAGGCTCGCTCAGGCTCCTGTTAGGTAGATAACTGCCGTCGTCTCTGGTTGATGGATAGTAGCTTGATTTACCAGGAGTTGCAGGTGCAAGCCCCAAATTATTATCATTACCTGTTCTGTTTTTAAAAATCTGTTCAAGGTACAATGGATAATTTAAATCATGTAAGGTATGTCCCGCCTCTTGAGGGGCTTAAGTTCTTTGGAGGGAAATGGGAGGGTGTGAGTCAGAAACTTAATAATTTTTACAACACAGAATAGGTGAGTAATGTAGAAAGTAGTATTACCACTGAAAGGGGATGAAATCCTCACCTTCAAGCAGGGAGGACTTGATGGAGGAGGAGACATTTGAAGTGGGCCTTGAAGAATTACCAGAATTTCAGAAGTAGAGATGGTAGAAGGAGAGGAAGGATGGAGGGAATGAGAAGAGAAAATAAAGAAGTTAGGAACAGGGAAACAGACCACAGCAGACCACAAGCAGGTGGTCCCCTTTCTGGACTCAAGCTCAGGAAGCAGTCTCTCTCTGTGGGTAACATGGAAGGTAACTGTCTACTACAGAAAAGCCAGAGAGCTTGGCTCTGCAAGGGGCCAGGGTGAAGTATTTTAGTCTCAGCTGCCTCATAGCGCTCTTGACATTCTAGTGCCAAAACAGCCACAGACAGTATATAAACTAATGGTTATGGCTTTGTTCTGCTAAAACTTTATTTACACAAAGTGGCAGTGGACTAGATTTAGCCCATGGATTATAGCTTGCTAAACCCTGGTCTGGAGCTCTGACAGACAGTATAGGAGACTGGTAAGCTGTTGGTACCGGAGGAGGCTTGGACATACTGCTCCTCTGTCTCAGGCTCAGACTGTGAGTTGTGGTGTCACCCAAGAAGCCATGATCAAGGTAACCTAGTGTGTATGTATGTGTGTGTGTGTGTGTGTGTGTGTGTGTGTGTGCGTGTATCTTTGTAGCAAATTAAAACCTTCAGACAAAGACCGACGACTGTCTGTAGAGATCTGGGACTGGGATCGAACAACGAGGAATGACTTCATGGGATCCCTTTCGTTTGGAGTGTCGGAGCTCATGAAGATGCCAGCCAGCGGATGGTGAGGAAGCCCTGGGGCTACCCGCAGCTCCCCACAATAGACCATGTCGCAGACCCCAGGAACAGGTGGGGTCTGCAATGCCAGGTGGATGTCTGTCACCTGGCTGCAGTCTCTCCATAGTGGGCGTATCACCAGCCGCTCAAGTAGAGGGTGGGGAAGAGCTGCTGAACCTGCACTTAACCCTCCTTCTCTCCCGTGTCTTTGAAAGGTACAAACTGCTTAACCAAGAGGAAGGTGAGTACTACAACGTGCCCATTCCGGAAGGGGATGAAGAAGGCAACATGGAGCTCAGGCAGAAATTTGAGGTGAGGATTCCAAAAAACCTACAGGAAACATGTTCCCTTCATTTTCTAAAGCATAACTCCAGGGAGGGCCAGATTTTTGTGGTCACACAGTTGAAAGCAAAAAGCAATTTCAGTATTAGCACTCATTTGCTTTATTGAAAAACGTAAATGTTGTATATAATTACCTCCATTTGCAAGCTCTTGGCATCTGAGTCTATTGTACTGAAGAGAATGAAGACTAGAAATGTCCCAGCGATGAGAGCACGGTTGATTTCTGCTTAAGAAATTGGTTTGCACTCATGGGGCAGCAGCATGTTTTGAGCACAAGGCCCTTCTGACAGAGGCAGACTCCCCCAAAAGGGAGGATTTGGGTCCTCTCCTCTGGAGAAATCTGAGTGTGATTAGGCTGTCATGCCGGACTCTGAATTTTTTTTTCCTACCAAAAGCAAAAGTTTCCTAATTTTGTGCTAAGGGACCAAACCTCAACAAATACTTCTTTATGTTTGGGATTCCTTTTTACTTTGCTCCAGGTCTTGAGGAAAGACCAGCCTGTTGTTCTTCATCCTCTTTGCTACGCTTGATCTTAGCCAAAAGGCTGAGAAGCGATTTTTTGCCCTCTTTGGTGTTTGTCTTTTCATACTCATTTGGCTTCTTTCTCCCTGCTGTCTCCGCTCTCCTTCTCTCCATCCTTTCTTTGTGTTACTTACCAGCCCTCTCAGCTCATACTAAACTGCCATTTCTCTAAGCAAACACCTTATGTTCCAAGTCACCACTTTGGTCTGTGCTTCTCTAATCGCTTTGCATTTGGGGCATTGAGGGATGTGGACAGCCTCTGCTATCTGTGTATATAACTGGTTCTTTTTTTTTTTTTTTTTTTTTAACTCTTTCTCTTCTTCAGACTAATCAGGGTTCCCTAGTAGTTTCTCAGCCCTAAAGTAATACACATACACACAGCTAAGTGTGCATAGATGCTGAGCTGTTAAAGAAATATTGATGAGGAGGATGATGGTGTTGTTTTCCTTACTGTCATTCCCAAAGACGATAGATAGATAGATAGATAGATAGATAGATAGATAGATAGATGATGATAGATAGATAGATAGATGATAGATAGATAGATGATAGATAGATAGATGATAGATAGATAGATAGATAAAATCCAGATAGGATGGATTTCAAGGGGTGTCAAACATGAAATAGTTCAGATTATCTCATCATGCTGACGTTTGGTTGGGTGGAGGTTGGTGTCTGGTGAGCCGGAGCCCTGTCCAAAGGAGGCAGTCACTGCCGCTCAGTACTGGCTGGTCACTGTCTTATATACACATAGCCCCATGCTTCAGGAGAAGCCGCAAATCTGGAGTTTCACATGGCACAGTCTGAGTCTGTTTTCATTGCTGGCAGCTAATTAAAATTTAAAATTTTGTGTAGGTCAAACTTACTTCAATTGCTTTAGACACAGGTGTCAACCGGTGAGAACCAGCCTGCAGTCTGTGCTCTTTAAAACTACAGGAAGAGATGTAAATAAAAGGCAATATACGTAAAATGAGGAGAGTGAGGTTCTTTGTGAAGAAGGCTCAGAATATTTAGAGGAATTCAAGTACAAAGGTGAAGGTCAAGGTTTTGCCAGGAACAGCCCTCTCTCTTTTTTCTGGTCTCTTCACTCTCCCTCCATCCCTCCCCCGCTCTGTCTTTTTCGCTTTTTCTTCACTTGCTTCATTATCCGCCACCACCTCAGCCCTCAGCTGAGAACGCAGCCCTGGACTCCTGGGCGGGAAGGCTTCTGGGGCCCTCCCCAGTGTCACACCGCACTTGTGAGGGAGCCTCGCAGGGAGAGTTTCGGGGCACAGTGCTGGTGTTCTGCAGCTGTCTCGGGTAGGGCAGAAACCTGAGTTACTGGCAAGAGCCTTATTGAATTCTGTGCCCTCAGATGGGCCATGGGCAGCCGCCCACCAGTCAGAACCGTGGGCACAGGGTACATTCGAGGGAGGCACAGCCCTGGGCATCCTGGTAGTGTCACTTGCAGTGATGCCTGAGACCTCACTTTGCTAATAGAGATATCAACTCACTCTTGAGGCTTCATTTCCATGACTTTGTGGCCAATGATCTTCCTGTTTTTCTGGGCAGCGAGTCCGGCTTTTTATAAAGGTCAGACTTCCAGGCTAAAAAATAAAAATATAAACTACCAGCAAGAGAGCTGGAGTCCAAAAGTGAAGTCTTTCTCTTTAGAGGCAGTTGGAGGCCGTGTGTCACGGGTTGCTACCCCTGGGCGGCTGGGCTTGGGAGAGCAGCCAAGTCCCAGCCTGGGGCAGTGTGGCCTCAGCAGAGAGAGGCAAGGTCAGCAGAGTGGTAGGGGGCTTGGCCCTGCTGTGCAGCCCCCTGGGGAACCTAACCCGCATAATCATTGTTATGTTACCGTGTACGCGTCTTCCACCTTGCATTTCCTAGTTGTATTCCAAGTGGGTCAGCACGTTTACTCCGACCATTGTAAAAGCACAACTGCAAGAGACTGGCAGAAAGCCAGGCTGATGGCAGCAGAAAGATGCTTAGAGTTTCCTGACAACTGTCATGCTGCAGTTTAAATGGAATATTCCAACCTGGTTTTAGGCTGATGTTCAGTCTTATAACAGTGTTTCGTTGATGGCTGTAAATGTGAAAGTTGGGATCCGTCCTTAGTGGCCACACACCAGGGGAGAAAGACTGGGTTCCCCATTCAGGGGACGGGCGGCCTTTCCAAACAGGGTGACAGTCAGCACCAGAGTACGGCTTCCTGGGGCCCCTCCTGTTCTTCCCTGTCTATCGCAGACACGGCACAATGGCTTCCCTGCGTACCGCGCTCTCCGTGTCGTCGCTGTTCTGACTGCTTCCCGTCATGTCAGCCCCGCTTCGGGAATAGGCCGTCCCGTGGCCTCACAGAGCATCTAGTCTATGGAATTACCCTTCCTACATCCAGCTCTGTCTGCTATGTAGAAAAAGTTACCTGCAGCTTGCACGTCCTTCCCCAGAAATCAAAAGTCATTCGGCCCGATGAAATGAAAATCAAAACAAATGAGCATTTACAACTCTGCCTGCTGCATTAGCATTCATCTGATCATCAGATGGAAAACGTTTTAAATTTAAATTGTTGACTCTAGAATCTTGGCAAAAACAGATGATCCACAAGTGAAGCTCCAGGATGGCTGGAAAAGCGCTGCTGTCTAACGCAGGCCCTACTAGAGCAGTTCATCTGCCTGAAACACGGCCCAGACCAGAACCTCAGTCATGATATTCATGGACAGCGAGTCTGTGGGCCTTCCGTTTGTTTCATGTTTGTCTTCAGATGAAGTATATACATTCCTGAGTTGTAAATATAAATTCCATATCCGTCATTTGTTCAGTAAATAAGATTCCGATAGTGAGAAAGACAAACAGTCACTTCTTCTATAGTTTATGTTTTGTACCTGTGGACCCTGGGTCTCATAGGAATGGAGGGATGAAGCAAGGAACTTACTGGGAAAGAAATTTAACACCTTGTACAGGTGTGACTTCGTTACCTATCATTGTTCCGGTCACTGTTGAGGACCATCAGGATTCCTGAATTTCCCCCAACCGTCAGTCTCTGACCCGTGAGTCTTATTGCTAGAGTTGGCAAGGCTCTACTTTTCCTTGGAGGCAGTGCAGAGGATGGGTTAACTGTGGCTCGACAACTGTTTTCTGGAAGGGTCAGATAGTAAATGTTTTGGGTTTTGCAGGCCATGAAGTGTCTACTGTGATACTCTGTTACTGTATTATCCGCAGTGTGTTTCAGTAAAACTTTATTGGCAAAAAGCAAGCGACAGAACGGATTTGCCTTTGGGTCGTAGTTTGCCAACTTCTGGTTTGACCCATGGACCCTGGGATAAAATCCTAGTTTGCCAGTTATTAACTGTGTAGTCTTTCTATGCCTTATTTATTGACCTTAACTGTATGGGCATGATAGCAACATTTACTTAGTAGAATTGTTACAAAGATTAAATTATTCAATAGGAAAGTCCCTAAAGCATACATACGTATTCACCCTTATAATTATTGTTATCAGACAATGTATTACCATATTTCACAGCAGAAACTGGTTTTTTAAATTGGTTTTATGTAGTACTGGAGGTTGAGACCAGGGGCACTGTACCACTGAGTATATCCCAACCCTTTTTATTTTGAGATAAGGTTTTACTAAGTTGCTCAGGCTGACCTTGAACTTGCAGTCATCCTGCCTAAGCTTCCCAAATAGCTACAGTTACCAGCATGTGCTACCATGCCCAGCTTAAAGGACCTCCTTTTTAATAAAAATTGTATAAAAAGAAATTTCTGAAGTTCTTCTGAAAAACAGTGAATTTTCATGTTGAAATCATGCTCTAAATAGTAGGCATTTTCTCTGTCCTATAATCCAGTTATAGTATGAAATAAATGCATATGGTGAAACCCTATCACCAATTACATGGTTGTTTTCAGTGGAAAAGGCATGTTGATTTACATGCAGATGAGTTTCTAGAACACAGCATGTCTGTAAGTTGGGGACTTTATGTGCCTGGGATGTATCAGGCCCTGAGCAGAGCAAGTTACCAGTGGTCAGGAGAGAAAGTATAGTCCCTCAAAGACAAGTCAGTTTGCACTGACCCTTGTCGATTCAATGGTTTGATTTAGGGTCCTGATTAAAGATTGGAAAGTGAGCACATCTGGCAGGTGATTGATAGAAACCATACCACGAATATACACAAGTATAGCCATAATGGTGGCAGGAGCTAATAACACATTCAAGAAGTCATTAAGTCAACAACAGCAATGTCACAATTGTTTTCTGTTTGTTTTTTTGTTTTTTTCCGGTACCAGGAATTGAACTCACGACCTTGTGCTTGCCAGGCAGGCACTGTGCCACTGAGATAAATCCCCAGCCAAAACTTCTCTCTTCTGTTTGTTTGGGGGTTTTTTTTGTTGTTTTTTCCAGTACCGGGAATCGAACTCACAACCTCGCGCTTGCCAGGCTGGTGCTGTGCCGCTGAGCTAAATCC